AAATGTGTTCCCTGGTTATTTCTCATGGCGGTGCTCCGTTTCCACGAATACACAGGGTTCACGGGTTATGTGTAAGCGAGAGGCCGAGTATCGAGAGGGCGGTAAATAATATCCACACGCGTGCCGGTACAGGCGTCAACCGATAAATCACCGGTCGCCGTGACAGGAAATTGAACTTTCGCGAATACTTATGCCCTCGTGATTATTCATGTCGATAGCGGTGCCGCCGCTCCTGGCCCACGTTCTATACTAAGTGAAAACCTGTGTGCTCTATTCCGGGTTCAGCCGGAGATCCACGTCATATTTTAGGCAGCGTTCCTTGATAATAAATAACGCCGCCTGTTCGGAAGGCTTGCAACCATGTTTTCTTATCGCGTTTCACTCCTCCTTCGCTCGGTTTTCGATAACAAATATGCGTGTCCAAACAATGTACGATCGTTAATAAAAATCGTAGCCCGTGAGATGATTTTGATAACGACCATAACTCCTGCTTTCATATAACTTGGTAATAATTAGTCTCGTCACACGTCGAGCACAGTTAGAATATACTTCTTGTCACGTTAATTACATTTTTATGGTAATTGAACATGAACGCTGTAACACGAAGATGAATTGTCTGTCCAAGAATTTTTAATTTATACCAGTGGTCTGAATTTCGCACGTTTGAGATACGTTGAAAACGGCCGACGATGAGCCGTTTCATTCTTTCCATTTGGCTTTTAGCTTCCTTTTTTTTTTCGTACCGTCGCCCGTGGTCGTCTCCGCGTGGCCATATGTTTTAAGTTAGCATACGCTGTAACCACTTTAATTAAGCGGCGCGCCGGCTTTTAATGAACCACGCGACGCGGTTTTTAATTACGCTCTCATTGACAAATTCCCTACACGGGCCGGTTTACCGAGGATTCATTGTGTTAGCAACGCCACTTTCGATTAGCGTGATTAATAGGATTTGTCAAATTATGTCTGTGTTTCATAGCATACAATAATTAAATAGAACTACAATTCCCAAAGCAATTAAACAGGAACAGGAGTTCTCAGACGAATTCATTTAATCTAATCAAAATTCTATTAACAATTCTGAGAAATGTATTTGTCAAACAAATGAGACTAGATTACGACAGTCTGCTGCGAACGCGTCGCGAAATAATAAAGCAGAGCTCGTAAAAAATAAGAGAGATGAGGATGGTTGGTGGAGAAAGTTTCCGCGCGATGTAATTAACTCTACAAAGTCGCGTCCCTCCTTTGGGTAAGTCCTCGTACACGAGGAGTGGTTTACAACCGTCCACGTGGTGCTTCGCGCGACGTGTCAGCGGGCGGAAAGCAGCCCGCACATAAATTCGAGCGGGTTAAAAGCCGCAGATGCGAGTCGTCGTCGCGGCACTAGTTTGGCCCACGACCAAGCCTCCGGTCGCTTTACAAAACAAAGGTTTCTTCAATTATCTTATTCTTTAAGAATCGACTAAGTGCGGCGTACAGTTTTTATTTCATTTTATTCTTTCAATAAGAGAGTTGAAATACGTTTCCTTTTTCGAAGATGAACTCATCATTGATGAATTAACGTTTTATGAATCATTCTATAAATTGAAATTCCTATTGCAATTCGCAATACTTGCATAAGAAACATCAGACTATGCTATAAACCTGTTTAATCTGTTCATGAATGAGGATTGTTTGATTAAATCGTATGAAATGTGAAATTATAAAAGGACGATTCAATTAAGACGACGAGGTTTGTGCGTGCGCGTCGCGCGAGACGAGGGATTAATCCGAATCCAGCGTGGCGGCATATCGTGTAGCCGGGAATGACTGTAAAACCGTGTTGTCAGCCCGAGATCTCTCGCGGTAACGTCGCTTGTTATCGTAGTCTTATTAGGTCTTAAGTCGGTTGTCGCTACGGAATGATACGGGTAGCGGCTTCCAGTGTTCACCATCCATTGTGCATGTACACGAAAGCTTGTTACCCCCGTATTCTTTATCAAGCTTCTTAATGCACTTTTGATTATCAGATAAACACTCAGCAATTCAGTTTATTAGGGATTATTCGCCTATTCTCATAATGATTTTTAAAAATTGCAATCAACGACCGAAGTAGCTGTTGACACGAGCGTCAGGATTCTGTTTACTGGGATTGATTTAATTGTAAGAATATAATCTATTGGCGTTGTTTCATTACTGGTAGGATCGATCGGGTGATGCGAAGTTGAAGAGCGGCTCGGATAGATCGTATCGCCGGATGATTTACCGAGTTTTTGCGCGAAGATAATGGGCCCGGGGCCAAGGAGCGCGTTCGATAGCCAATTTCTTCCGCCGATATACCCGAACGATAGAGAAAACCTTGGTTACGCGGCGCGCACCGCGGTAATCTCGTTTTTATCAGGGGGCCTGCTCGCAAAATCCTCCAATTAGCGCGCATAACATTACCGTAATTACGGTACCTACCGACTGCCGGGCCGAGGAGCCGCGGCATCATCGTATCGATAGGGTTAAATACGCCCTCGAAAACCGTACGCCCTCCGTTCTTGTTTCATCAAAATTATCTTCCACGTCTGGCTCATAAAAAATATTGATCAGTCCGACAGCAATTTCGTTCCTTTCAAGAATTCTCAATAGAAATTTCTGCCGCAGTTCTAATAAAGACATAACTCTTCACTTGTTCGTACATATAAAATTATAAGAGACTGGCAGATAGTTTATCAAATGATTCGTGCAATAAGACGTTTGGTATGTAACTTATTTATGAAACGACGAATGATACGAGAATTTTTCAAAACTGAACTGCTTGGCATTCGGTACTCCGGATGTCGGAAAGTTCTTTAATTAACGCTGCCGGGGCACTTCTTGCCGTTGAGGAGGTGGCAGGAGGCAATTTTCCGCCAACCGAAACTTCGCCGCGTCCCTCCGATTATTTACCGACTGGCGGGAACGTGTGAAACGAAAAACCGCGCGCGAAACCAGGAATTAAATTGGTCGAAATAAAAAGTACGAAGAATATTTCCCGTTCTACGATCTTAGCGGTCATACAATTTTCATGTGCAAACAGTTTTCTCGTATCTAGATTCGGTATACAGTCCTGTTGCCTCGCAGACGCGAAATAGGAAGGATTACATTAAAGATTGAAGGGTGGAGAATCGAAGAAACGGGGATAGGAACAAGATTGCGCGGAAACAGGGACAGACGCGGGAAAATCGTGCAACTCGGAACACGGGTGGAAAAGCAAACGCGAGGAAAGATTCGACAAACAATGCTGTTAACAATGCTTGCTAAAACAACGCCGGAAAATAAACAAGTAAGATGGATGTAAAATAAATAAGGGAGGAACGAAGTGCATTCGGCGCTGGACTGGATGAACGAGGATTCGAAGAAGCAAAAGGATATCGAATAAAAGGAACGAATATTCACGCGTTTCGTTTTAATGCAATGTTTATTACATAAAATATTCTACGAGAATTATAATAGTTCATTGAGGTATCGCTTCCCGTGGTTATTATTAATTTTTCTGCGAACTATGAACACGAGGCGTTGCGTCGACTAATTATTACACGAGGTCGCAAATTGGATCGATTTAATTGGACCGGAATAAAGGGGCGGACAACGTTCAATGAACATAATTGGTATGATCACCAATTGATCAACGAGCACGTCAGTTCGTGTAATAGATGCGGTGGTTGCGCCTGTGGACACGTTATTCAATTCGATTGTAACGGAACAATGCTGATAATGACGATGGTGATGAATAATTAATTTGTGCGTGTGGCTGACCTTTTCATTTGTTTGGCCACCGAATACTATCCGTCGCATAGAGTATTGTAACATGGGCGATTCTTCAGTTACAATTTTGTATAACAGTATCAGGAGTTCAGTAGGTTACTTATTATAGTAAAATTAATTAACTCCCAGGCTGTCTTATTATATTCTATAAAAAATAAGGATGGAACAAAAACGGCGCGAAGAACGTGGCCTACAGGATAATCAAAATCCCGGGTGCAAAAAGAAGCAGCCACGCCTGCGAAAAAGGCGAAATAAAGAGAGGTGCGAAACGAGTGGCAAAGTAACGAAGAGCGTATCACAAAAGAATACGCCGGGGAGTAAAAAAAGAAAATAGCCGAAAGCCACGGGGGAAACAAAGGTGCGTACACAATGGCGAGATGTGGGTGCTCGGCGTAAGCGTAATGTATGCCCGCATTGTTTACCGGGCGTCTTGGACGCGTCGCTGTGAGCGATTGCACGCTGGCAAACAAGCCTTGCACACGCGTGTCCACCCACCCGCACATCGCGGTGCGTATGTGCGTGCCCGACGCCCACGCGTCGCCAAGCGTTCGCCGAACCGCGAAAACCCGTCGACGTGCCGTTCGCCGAAACCGCCTAATTCCCGCCCGGTTCTGTCATGCAAATGCTGCCTGACGAAAGAACTGGACTACCGTGACCAAGTCGGTAAACCATTGTTGGAATCGCGCCACAAAATTTCTTAGCTGTTTCGTCGATTTCCGATTAAAACACATTTGAGAAAGTGATTAATTAGGAAATCGATATGGTGAATAGTTTACTGGAATTTTGTATCAGAATATGCAGTTTCATTTCGCTTTGGGGTAAAATTAACTACGTGAAACACAAACTTTTCGTCTGCATGCTTTTTTAATTAAATAGTGATAGCAGCTGTATGTGAAAGGAGTAACTGGTAATTCATCATCGATTGTGGATAGCCGATTGTTTAATTAAAAAGTAACTTGGCTTTCGCAAGCCAAACGAACACAATAGCTTAGTAATTATAAGCACAAAGCGTGTAGTATCAATTTTTCGAGCATACTCATATTCAGTGGAATTTAGACACGAATTTATCATACTTTTTCATATAACTCTCATGTACTGTTCTATTACATAAGACATGGGTACTAGAAGCTATTTCGTGTTCTTCCATCTAGGTGGCCAACGAGCTAAACGAGTTCTCGCAGTAGAATGAGTCCCTGCTTGGTATATGTAAGTCCGTCGTACCTCGAGAAATTAAGATCATACTTCACAGGATCACTTCTGTAGTTGATCTTGCCTTCTCTAATCCATAAATTAGAGTCGATGCAGCCACGATGACGAGACGTGGCTCCTTTCCCTGAGCGTGAGGACGACTTGGGAAGTTAACTTTGCTTAATTTCCCAGTCATCGATGATCGTTCACCCCTTGCACTCAGTGCGAGGGGAATGGGAAGTGGAGCTGTCTGAGTGGTCTTTTTAATCTTTATCAAATATAAATTTTCTTACAGCAGTAAAAGAACGATCAAATTGCATTCAACAGAAGTATTTCTATCTTAACATGTACAGGCAGACATAAAAATTGGCCGAGAGCCCAAATGGATGAGACTTACAGCTAGACAACTGAGAGGAGGAAAATGAACGAGAGCTCAACAAAAATACATGGACTTTCGGTCTATTCTCTTATGTTCATGAATTTAATCAGAAATGTAGTTCTGTGAGATTCTCAAATTCTAAATCTCATTGCCTACATCGAAGTTCAATAAAATCTAAAATAGAATAATAAAATTTTGTAACATATGTTCTGTAATCAGTGTAATGCACGCTCACAATCATTAAAGTTTTGTTTTGAATTTTAAATGAACATAAAAAAATTAAATGCACACTTTCTCGCAGTCGGTAGGACTCGAACCTACGCTCCCAGAGGGAATCTGATTTCTAGTCAGACGCCTTAACCACTCGGCCACGACTGCTTGTGGGGTACACTCTACTCTGGCTAACACCCATAGAGAAAGTAGTTATACAAAAATTAAGAAATGGTATTACAGTACTTCTTATAATAAAATACAATCTATAGATATTCCCTAAAAATATCTCGTGACACATTAAACACTAATATTAACAAACTCCAATTTATCTCCGACGATACGACAAAGGAGACAAAGCTACTGATTAACAGAATTCTAAATCGCGTATTTCGTGGGAACTGTATTTCATTAACTGTGTTCTATTCATTCAAACACTGGCTAAACGCGACAGAAACACAAAGCTGGCCAGACAGGAATCATCGTGAAACGGATGACGGAAAAGAGCGTGAGCGATGTCAAATCGTCGGGTAATTGCCACGTTGGATACCGCGGCTAATTAGCGAAAGTAGCGCTCAATGATGCGGCTAGCGCGTTTTAGCGATCGTCGGCGTATAAATTCACCCCTTAACTTGGTAATATCCATCCATCCCCTTTCCGCGCGCTCTCGACTAATGGCGGCGGTATTTGCACGGTAAACGCGCGTCGTTAGTTTCGTCCGGTCGAGGCTAAGGGCTTTATTTAACAGCAAACAGGAAGCGCGTGCTGCGCACCCAAAAACACGTTGTAACCCGTGCCGGATGACATGTCACCGTCAGGGGTGGAAACGCTGTACGTACAATCCTGTCCAAAATTCCTAAACACCCCTTGGATCTCTCGATCAAACGTTCATTGGATGCAGAAAGATCCGATAGATCCTTTTACGAAATTTCGATCGTCACGCAACCATACGTTCTCACTCGACGATACTACAAGAAATTTTTTATATAAAATAACACAAATCGTGTTCTACAACTTATGGAAAGGATTATACGTCGTGTGAAATTATTGGTGGGACGGCGAGAATTATTTTTTGGCCGAGTTGTTGATAACATCCATTCGCGCCACGTTTACACGTTTGCACTCTCTTTTATCGATGCGATAATTAGAAAGGCTGTGTAAACCTCGCGTTTCATTTAACATTCACCGTCCCAGGCTCGCGGTGTGGTCTCCATTCACACGTCCCGTCGAAAGATAAGCTGGCTTGTTTATACACTTTTTATCATATAACGTTAATACCCCAAAGGGCGTATGCTCGAATAAATTCGAAGATCAGATAAAAGTATATTTAGTGAATTATTCGACGATACAGCCCGTCCCTTGATAAGAAGAAAGGAACTACCCTCGCTTTATCGTTTTTCATACACCGTTACATCCAGCCTTATCAGTCCACTTCCCCTGTAATAAAAATAAGACCGCAGGCTCATTTTAAATATTCAGAAGCCTGCTCTTGTATACCCGAGGCTCGCGTTCCTGTCGATTCTCGTTTCCGACTGCCACGACGGAGACAAAGCTCTTGGCAGTGGTATAAAACAGCGGCTGGGATTAGCCGATTCCCGAAGACGCGTGCAGCCACGTCTTCGAGAGCCGATTCAGGCGCAGCCAGGCGTTAAGCTGATAGCTTGGTCGTGACGTCGGATGAGAATACGCTGCGAAAAGCGTTCGTCTGAAACCTACTCGCAGGGATAATGCCTACCAACGAGTTACAGTACAGACTTGTCTGTCAACGAAGCCAGAGATTAAGCCAATGCGTTCACCTCCTGCTCCTCTGAATCGTGCAGCTGTCTGTTAATTATTTGCCTCTTCTTTCCTAATACTCCCATTCTTCAAATTTCTATTGTTCGCTAGTTTTGAATAGGCCTGAATCTCAAGTTTTGTTAGAGTAACAAAGAAATTGTGTTTAAGGAAAAATGGCAGATTCTTTAATATATGATTTAATTGATATTGAGTACCTATTTAGATTTATTCACTCTTATAGTGATTTTCTATCCCTTTCGTAATACACCTGCACATGTCCATTTCTCGTTTTTACTTCGTGCCAGCTCATTCTTTTTTATATCTTTAACACTCGCAACACCACTTCTGTCACATCCTCAACAGACTCCACTTCTTATCTCGCAAGAAGAACGTTCCCATCCTTTTATTTCACCCCCTAACCAGTCTCACCCTCACCTGCGCTGTCTCTGTTTCGAGTCCTCACCCGGCGACGGTTACAAACGATAGCCCGACTTTCCCCGCGACGGATTTAAGTCACGTTCGTCCCGCTTAATCCTCGGGAATTCTTTCTGGGATTCACGAGTCGACGACACGAACATAATTAAGACGTAAACGCGTGGCTCGAGGCCTTAGCCAAGGCGTTCAGGTCTAAATAATTATTGCCGGGGCTGAAAAGGCTTTGGAACGGTGGCGAACACACGAGTATCGCGGTCTGTTACCTACTCGTTGCAGAGCTTTTTCGACCCGGATGATCGATGACTGAGATCGCGAGAATTGTCTGCGAAGCGGGTCTAGGGAACGGGTCGCTCTCGGGGGTGCTCCAGAAAGATATATACCATGGATCGCAGGGTACGTTTAAGGGTCGGAGACGCGTGGCTTAAGCATGATTAAGTGACGAGGGATTCGCTGGTGTTTAATTAAATGTTTGCTGTAGCAGTGTCCTGGAATTTCAGTTTATTTCATATGAATATCTTTCACAATTTTTACTGCTGCTCGTCGGTCTGCAATTTCTTAATAGAATAATCTACGTGATCAACGCGATGCAATATTAATTTCATTTCGTGAATATCGTTACAAAAGCTTGCATCTGCTAAATGTACATTGCATCGAGCCTTTAAAATTTTTGTGTAAACGCAATACGGGTAAATGCGTTTGAGCGAACGTGATTAAAAAGGCGAAAAACTGGCGCGTACAGATTGCCTCCGGCTACCTTCGCGTTACGCGGCCTTTTAATTTAAGTACGAGGTATTTTAATAAAATAATTGAACGCCGGTGAAAAACTAATGAGGAACAGGATTAATTGGGAAACGGACGTGAACGAATATCTCCGTACTGTAGATAATCGACATCTGTACGCCGCGTTTGAATATTGTGTTATAAAGTCAGGAAGAATCGTCGGGTTTCAGCACCGAGGGAAAGCGCGCCGGGTTTTCTACAGTTTGCCTCTTTTCACGCGATACTGGTTAATCCTTCGACCGAATGAAATCGCTCTTTCGCGTTCCCTTTTTCCGGTCACCCGATTTTGCATTTATATCCGCCGCGAGCCGTTGAATTATTTTTAACAATTTAACGCAATCGGCGAAAATGTTTCCAGCGAAATCGGCACTTCGTCTTTACTCTGAAACGGAGCAAATGCGAAATTTAATTTAACTATTGATATAATTTTCGACAGCCCTCGAAAGTCCTTTCCCGGATGATTTTTTAATCGTGTTTCGGATGTACATTGATCAAGCGTTAGTAGGAATAGTTGCACGTTCCTCTAACAGGAGTCCTATAAAAATCGGAAAGGGCGAGAGGTTTTAAAAGCAGCTCTGATCCGAGAATAAAGACAGAACTAACTCCGGCGAAGTACGGGATCGTACATTCCAGTGGTCGTAAGGATGGGAACGAGAATGTGAACCAGCCATCTGCGACGTTCTTCGACCGAAACAAAACTTGTGAAAGGAGTACCGGTCGGGTTGTAAAAATGATTCTTCCAAACACGCGTACGTCCGAGTTCCGTACACTCTCATTCACAAGTTGGCGAGCAGTTTTCTCTAGATAAAAATTAGGTCAGGTCAGGTGTTAAACTTTCATGAGAGTCCGAATCAATGACCATTTGCTCTGCGAATGTTCCTTAGGACAAGTAAACGGGTTATCTGTATTATAAATCGAAGAATCGTTCTCACATCTTCTTCGCAGTTTTTGTTAACTACCAGTTGACTTATGAATGGGAGTGTATGTCAGGACCGGGTGTAAACACCTGTACGGGGAAAAGCTGGGACATCCCTTGGGAGCATAAAGCGGCATTGTTCCCGGGGGACGTCGCCTCTGTAGGTAGAAACGTATGGTAGAAGGAGATTCGTCCGGCGAGGCACAATGCGACACCAATGTAGCGATCGTTATTGCTAGTTTATTGCTCGTAAATCGCCGTCGCGGCCTGAGCGTCCTGTGCCCGTACAAGGATACGAGCGTATCTTTTAAAAGGGCGTCTCGACGGGACAGTGTCACAGCCTCTTTCCTCTACTCTTAAAAACGAAACGAGCGTCTCGCCACGACCACCGACGAGACCAAAGAATTCTACTTCTGCCTCTTCTCCTTCTTCGTTTTTTATTCAAGTCGCACGGAGCCTCTTAACGCGTACTATCTAAATTCAAGTCTAATCGGTTCTTAACGAGAAGCTCACGTTTAATGTTATTATTTATGAAAATAGTCACAAATTCAGTATCAAATTGAATTGTAACCAGAAGTGAAGTTCATAAGAAATATTATAACTTTTATAAGAAATTTTAATTCAATATTTTAAATATGAAAGACAATCTTATATATTTCTCTGCGATATATTAAGATAAAATTTCATAAGGAAGTCAGTGGTTAATTCAATTAAATGGAATAGTTTATTATCATTATTATTAATCAGCGCGGTTTCGTTAACG